GTTGAACTTATTTCACAACGTACTAAGCCAACCATGGTAATCGGAGGTGCATAATGCAGAGACCGTTTCTTTTTTGTTAAACATTTTTTCAAAGTAAATGTTTGCGTGTTGGTGGAAACATTATTCCGTGACGGATATTTATCCTCATTCACAGACGTGAAAAACAGCGTCACATGCATCACGGCTATTCCATTACACTCTTTCCTCAAGATAGTGTGGTCGGACAAACCATGTCTCATGTATTATGGGGCATTTTTTGGACAACTAAATTTTTTCTTTACATTTAATATTGCACTCTCAAAGCTAAAAAAACCTCAACGGATGGGGCAAAGCTGAGTTGTTGTTCAAATTTTTTTTTGTGATGTAGTGTCTGTCCACAGTGGTGAACAAACAACAAAAAATCAATACATTTGTCATTAATACTGTGACCCTAAAAGAAAAAAAAAATTGTATTCTCAAATATATTGTTTTTATACAATTTTATTGATGAATGTGTTGAGGTTTTTTTTTTTAACTCGGTTTGTTAGATGCTCTCCATTCTGCGCAGAAACGTCGTGTCAGGAAATCCCAACGTAGTACTGTACCGTTCAGCAAGGACTACGAAACTGCATTTTTTCGTTCCATAATTGGCTTGTGATTTTTTTTTGGTGGTGTCAGTGGTGATTCATTGACGTAGCTCTTCATATTTTTATAGTATAAAAATTAATCGCATTATACGTGCTGTAAATGGGGCCACTGGTCTTCAGGGAAATAGGGCAATTGTTGATATAAAAAAAACATTCCACCGCACTCCATCCATGAATTAGCCTAATATTTTGAGGACACATTGTTGGTCGAGCACACATTAGTCGTCTTGTCTTATCCCATCATTCTTGAAGACTGCTATAGACTGTTGGTGAAGTGTGTTCATGTCAAAGCTATGTTCAAAAATAAACACATTCCTGCGGAGGGAGCTGGTAGGAACGTTGGGTTGCTCGGTCAATGGCCAGGGTCAACGGCAGCGTGGTGTATACCGCAAATATGCCCGACTGAAGGCGGGCACAAGCTGGCGTGAGTAGGTTAAACGTTGAGTTTTATAAGGGCACCACAGGGTGACCAGCCCCTCCCCACCCAGCCCCACCCCTCCAACCCCTTCCACCCCCCACCCAGCCCCACCCTCCCCACCCAGCCCCTCCCCTCTCCACCCAGCCCCACCCCTCCCATTTTATCCGGGTGTCCGGATACACGTGGACAGACATCCACAGACATACACAATTAATCCCCTGCCTCCTGTGATAATCCTGGTTGGGCTTCCAGTCCACTACGTTTCCTACCAGTAATGCCCACTAGGAGCGCATTTGTTATATATCCAGGTGTCCGGATACACGTGGACAGACATCTACAGACATACACAATTAATCCCTTGCTTCCTGTGAATTAATCCCAGTTGGGCTTCCAGTCCACTACGTTTCCTACCAGTATAATCCAGAAGAGCTTACAGCTGTGCTGATTGATCTGTTGGCCGCCTCATTTAAATGGCAGTGCTTCACATTCCACATTCTATGGCAGGGACCAGTATGTCCACAGAGCGAGCGTTGTTGATTTAAATGCCACAAGTAGTGGCGCCTCAATCAGGTGGTACCCAATTTATAGACCCTGAAGGGATGATGACGATGATGAAAGAAATAATGATTGTGATACCACTGCTGCTGATAATTGGAATTACGATAGTGATGATTGTGATTACCCTCCTCCCAATTATGGTGAATGTCATGATGCCGATGCCATTACTGTTGCTGATAGCAGTGATGATCAAAGCTACAACATTGTACGATGATGGAAGCTACAACAACATTGTACGTAGCCAACCGTGCTAATCGGAGGTGCCAAACGATAACGGTGGGAATGCTGCTGCTTACAATGATGTTAGAGCGACTCAATTTAATTCTCTCACAACTGCATGTCACGCTGCAATACTTACGGAACTACATTCCTACCAGCTGTGTTCAAGGAAAGCATTACATCACTGCAAAATAATATCGTGCACTGGCATAAGTGGGGCTTTCAGCACCATCTCATCCTCGCAGCCATGCGGGTATACACAGGGACTCATCCATGAGCTTATTTTGAGGTTCTGGGATTAAAATGGGATTTCCTTAACAAACACACCTTAATACATTAATAGAAGCATCATGATGATTGTGGTGATAACAAACATCCTTCAATAGATCAATAGTATTGTAACATGATTATGATTTGAAAAATGGATTACTTTAATTCTACCATTAGTAAATAGATGTCTCTCAAAGTGTTTGACCACTCTCCCGGGCAGGTTACGCACCCTAAAAAAACCCACGTTTCTATAAAAAAAAGTATAATTTGCTGATATTTAGTGTACTATTCATCCTTATACAGGGTGTTTTTAAAAGATGGACCCAATTTCAAAGCAGTACTGTACTTCTCGATGATTGTATCATAAGCAGAAAAAGACACAATATTTTAATAAATCAACAGTAATATGATAATGAAAATAACATTTAAATACACTAAAATAATGATAACAAAAGCGTTTTCAACTAACATCAATACGATGATTATTATTATTATTGAAAATACTGTAATTGAGCCATCCGTCACAGCTGGTGCCTCTTTGCGAGCAATCAGAACCATTCACCCGCATTGAGCTTTTGCCCGCTGTGCAGATCCGGTCACGACTTCTCAAAAGACAACACGCATTTAGTAAATGGGAAATTCTTTTGCTGAATTTTGCTTCTTTTGCCCGTGTTATTGCTCATCGTCGTATCACTCTTGAACCCCTGTTTACAGGAAGGTGACCGTCATTATTTCAATGAATCGTCTGTGCTGTAGTTATAGTCTTGTACCTCGGGAGTGAGTGAGTGAGTATAGGCTGCCCTGCTTGTATAGGCCCCACAAGTGGATTGTGAAACACAGGCCAGGTGAGATTATTACTTTACAGCTTTGGCCGCACGAGGCCGTCACGTGCAGTCAGATTTAATTTTGTTCGGGTTCAACTTCATCACACGAGCAAGCGGCGGATGCCGCTCACAATGGCACGCTCGTAATTCAGTCCGTTACGTACACAGCATGTGTGACCTACACGTACGGCAATTGTTATCAATCCACTGCTGGATGAGGTCCTCCCGCCGTGCTGGTGTTGGTGATGAGGGCTGTATTTGTTTAAGGCCACCGGCACCTTTTTTCCACCACAGACCAAACCCGGACACATGTATCAGTCAGTAACTATAGGAAAACAATACTATCACCACCAGATCTAGGTACAAATCAATTGCTGCTGCCACCAGCCCGTAGGTGCCAATTCCCGGACTATGCCGGGTCAAACCCAGCCAAGTGTAAACCCTTGTGGGTATGCCCATACTTCACCATGCTAATCAGTACACAGGGTTGAATAAAGCGTTGAGGCACGGTACAATATATTTTTTTCTGCACGACCATCTGCTGACCACCACCTAGCACACAGCCTCGAAGTCGCCTTATGGACGTGTTTGTGGCATTGTGGTTGCCCATCCGAGTACTAGCCAGGCTCAACCTCTGCTCAGCATTCTTGCCGAAAGTACCGTGCCACAGTCGGAACTATGTTGCATTGGGATTAAGGAATTAGCCAGCACGACCACATATTTCATGCTCCCGATATATTAACTTAACAGGCACGCGTGCTGGTGTTTGAGAGCATCTATTAAGTGCAACGTGATCTTACAATGCGTGGTCTGACGAGAATATCTACATCACAAACGCACACAGACCCTGTCAAATACAGGAATATAAATAACACCAATGACCTAGCGATCTGCAGCGTGCTCACACGCGCCAGATATCGCGATATAGCAGGGTGAAGAAACCTGGGTTGGGCGACCAATTAGCAATGCCTATAACAGGCTGCTGCTATAGCTTGCGGTGGTGCTACGGGGCCACGTGGTGGACAGCAGTGGGGTGGGTCAGCGCAGCAAATTCAATGGTTGTACTCTACTTCTATGCGCCCACGTCCATGCTCTCCGTATTCACAAACCAGCACTGACCGGCGTGATGAAATATGCTCGAATAACAAACCACGGACTTGACAACCGCGTGGCGGAGGCATGCGTCCAGCAGTGGATTGACCTAGAACTGGATGACGATGATGATGCTGCTGCCCGGATGCATCGCAACGTGCCCGAGTGAGTGGCACGTAAACAAGCCCATGGGGGGAGGGGGGGTGGTGGTGTTCCGGGTGGTGACGACTTCGATTTCAAGTCAACAAACGTTGCCCTATGCCATGCACACTCAGCCCCCACCCCCGTCGTAGAACTGTGGAATTTCCACCACCGGCTTGGGGCTGTAGTCAGGAGCTGCAATAGCACTAAGCAATACATCGATGCTGATTTGAGCTGAAATCTGTGGTTGTTGTGATGTGCTGGGGAGTGAGTGGTGGTGGTGGCGTAGTGGTCGGCGCTTCTTAGCCTCTACGCGCCCAGCCCTCCCACCCGCGCTCACGCCCGCAGTCAGTGGCAAATATTTGAACCCGTCCTGGGATTCCCCTAGGTCGACTCGGCCTTGAAAGGCGGCCGCTGCGCGCCCTGTCCGTGCGCCGTGACGCACTCGCCAATGTGGTGGGCGAGTGTGGTGACGATGATGATGGTGTGGTGGTGGTGACGATGGTGGTGATGTGGTGGTAGTGGTGACGATGGTGGTGGTGTGGTGATGTGGTGGTGTGGTGGTGACGATGGTGGTGGTGTGGTGATGATGTGGTGGTGGTGATGATGATGTGGTGGTGGTGATGATGATGATGATGTGGTGGTGATGTGGTGGTGACGATGGTGGTGTGGTGGTGATGATGTGATGGCGGTAGGGCGTTGTGAATGTAGTCACCGAAGACTCGCTTGCCCTCGCTGTTGTTACGACACCGTCGTAATTATGGGATGACGATGATGATGATGGCGATGGCTGTAAGGGGGGGGGTTTGTGAAGGCAGCGACTGACAGCGGCTCGCGTCGCCGAAGACTCACTTGTCCTCGCTGACGCTGATGATTCCGTCCTCCTTGGGAATGATGGTTGCCATGTTCACCACATCCTGGGAGCCTTCGATCTTGGCCAGCAGGAGAGGACGCCGCACCCTCGCCTCGGTGTGGATCTCGGCCGCCATGGCCGGAGGCCGAGCTGCCTGTGCTGTTGATCTCAGGGGGGCTGTAACAGCAGCAGCGGCAACAACAACAGCAGCAGCAGCAGCAGCAGCTGACACACACACACAGATAAAGATCACCCGCGTAGCCCCTTACACACTGGGTTGGTGTGAGGCAAGTGCAGTTTGCGAGCACCCATTGGAACGCGCAACACCGCAAAAGAATGCAAACGCAGCCTGCACAACACGAGCCTGCATGTGTGTCAAACGTAAACGAAACGTCTGCCTCCCCCACCCCCGTTACGTTTTTGTCTTCTTTCCCATGTGCCAGGATATCGTGTGAGCCACTAGCCTCCCATGCCCGCTTACCTTCTACGCGCGTATCCTACAGGTTGTTGTTGTTGTTGTCCGCGCGTGCGCGCACACAGACGCACAGACAACCGCACAGACAACCGCACAGCCACGGAGGCGACGCTCACACACAACGACACCACCAACACACACGGGGGGAGCCGCCGCCGCCGCCTCTGACGTCATTCCTTCCGCGTCTCGTGCGCTCTTTAAAGCGTCAACGTCGCCACTTCTTCGGCTCCCTCCGACTCCACACACAAAGGTTCCACACCACCCACACCCCCGCCCCTCCACCCACACACCCGCCCCTCCACCCACACCCCCGCCCCTCCACCCACACACCCGCCCCTCCACCAGCACACCCGCCCCGCCCCTCCACCCACCTGCCTCCCACCCCTCCACCCACCTGCCCCCCACCCCTCCACCCACCTGCCCCCCACCCCCACACACGCGCCCCTCCACCCACCTGCCCCCCACCCCTCCACCCACCTGCCCCCCACCCCTCCACCCACCTGCCCCCCACCCCAACACACCCGCCCCTCCACCCACCTGCCCCCACCCCCACACACCTGCCCCCCACCCGCCCCCCCCACCCTCCTGCCCTCCCACCTGCCCCCACCCACCCTCCCACCCTCCTACCCCCCCACCCCACTGTGTCGCCTTGTCACCAGACTGTTATTTTGGGGGGGGGGCAGGTGCCGTGAGCGGGTGCATCGCTGTCACCCCACACGGTTTACCCCCCCCCCCCCCCCCCGTAATCTTGTCCAGGGACATTGCGTTTCCAGGTTTCACACGGCCTACAGCCCCGTTTCAATACGGGCAGCACAATCATAAATAATGTCTGTTTACTCTTTGGTTCTTTCGGTAAAGTCACGTAGAAAGAAAATAAATTAAATACCATTCTATTACCGAAATAACCAAAGAGTAATTCCTGCAGTCACGAAGGCTTCAAATCAAATGTCTGTTTGTGTTTCTCCCTTGTGATGGGACTTTGTAGGACGAACGATGAGATTTATAAGGGGCATGGGGTGACCAATAAGTTCTGTAATAAGGTAGGGCACTAATAAGGGGTTGACAGGTATGGGTGCTACCCATGAAGGCAAGAACGGCACACACACGCCCGGCCGCCTTTGTCTCCCCACTGGCGATGTTTATACACACCGCACCAGGTAGTAATTTGAGGCTGAGTCGACCTAAGGGAAGAGGCAGGCATGTCCAGGACCGGCTCTGATAAATATAATCGCCACTATGATATTGGGCCATGAGCGGGAATCGAACTCGGGACGCCGGGTTCGTAGGGCAGCGCGCTAACCGCTACACTACCGCTCCCCCTGACTCACACAGACACAGACAAAGTAACCCCGGGTAGCCTCGCACACGCTGTTGGGGCAAGAGCTGTAGAGCTACCACCCACGTGCAGTCTGACTGTGCGTTTACATTATTTGGTGATGTGTTGGCAGTTAGTGTAAAAGCACATTTACAACAACAAAAACGTTCGTCAATAACACTGTGGCATTGAAAAGGGGAATTATATTCTTCGCGACGTTTCGGGCAATGACCATTCATCACAGTACATCGGCCAGAGAGTGGAAAATAATAGTTGAAGACTGCACTTTAAAACATGCGGCCTGATATACGTACACTCGCTCACGCGTGCGTTGTTATAGTGTTGTTAACACGTTATTACGCAGTAGTAATAGTTATGATTGTGGTCTTATGGTTATGTCCAGGGCTTAATTCCAGCTGGGAGCTGTCTAGGGCTGAGTTCCGAAAAATATTCCCCACTCACCCTGTCGGGAAGGGTTGCGGTTCGGGAATTTAAGCGGGAAATATTCCATGACAAAATCATGTATGCCAGTGTGAACAAATTAAACGTTTTATTTTACCAGGTAAGGTCCACTGAGCTGCACTGTATAGCTCTTTTTTCAGAAGCGACCTGGCTATCACAAATTATAGCTCATTGAAGTGGCTTATCATCGTGCAAAAATGTATAGCGGCCAAATACTCTGCATGTACGTTGATTCTAAATGTGGAGGGAAAAACGGGAGGACCTGGACAAAAAATCACGCGTCCACGGGGAGAGAGAGACATGCGAACTCCAAATATACAGCAGGCGTCAGGGTCAGGATCGAACTCACGACCTCCTGTGTATCAGGCGAGGTAGTTAACATCTCATAGCCACCGTGATGATAATGATGATGAGAAAAAGAGAGACACGCAAACTCCAAATATACAGCAGGCGTCAGGTTCGGGATCGAACTCACGGCCTTCTGTGTATCAGGCGAGGTAGTTAACATCTCCTAGCCACCGTGATGATGATGATGATGAGAGAGAGACACGCAAACTCCAAATATACAGCAGGCGTCAGGTTCGGGATCGAACCCACGAACTCCCGTATACCAGGCGAGGGAGTTAACATCTCCTAGCCACCGTGGTGCCCAATTTAACACGTGACCAGCACGGTGTAGGGATATCGTCTTGTAGGAGCAACTCAACAAGTGTCTGTACATGTGCATTTGTACACACGCCTTTTTCAAAGCCAGACGTGTGCCTAGTTCTTGTCTCTCCCCTACGTAAAGCATTACAGAGTCATCATTGCTAATATTATCATGCCCCCATACACATTACACAGTGACTATTAAAAGCTCTCGCCATTTGGGAGGCTGTTGCGGTAAAAAGTTTTGGTGTAAGCTCGGCGTTTCAACCGTCGCACATTCTGGATCACGTTTCCATGAAATAGATGCACATTATAGTCTCATACAATAATAATAGTGATGAACTGTACCCAGGAATGTATTGCATCGGCAGTGATCGTATGCATGGTGGATCGTTTGGCAGTGTGGTCAAATAACCAGATGGCGGTGGCTTGGGGAGGAGGCCTTCATCCAACAATGGATTGACCATGGCTGATCTTGGCGACGATTATTTACCCGTCAAAGCCTCACCGAGTCTCAGGAATATTTTATTCAAGAGGGTTCTGCATTTGGATAATTGTTCCAATTCCATTCCCGAGTGTGAGGAACTAAAATGCAAGTAGATGAAGAACATCCACCACGCTTATGAGAGAGTGAACACTCAAAAGCTGCACACAGATGGGTCCAATAAAATCCATCTCTATCCTGCTGTCTCCTGACCAACTCGCAGTTCGATTATCTGTATGGCCAGGAAAGAGATTATTTAAGAGGCATGCGTTCTTGTCAGGTTCCCCTCGCAAAATAGGTTTTGAATCTCAAGGGTTTTTTTTACCTGCTTAAATAAAGGTGAAATAAATAAAATCCGAACGCCCTTGTTCTGTAACGTTTTTGTGTCTGTCTTGTTCTGTTTAAATATATTTTTTTAAACAATTAATAGTGTACTTATTTACACAGGGAAGGTCGCACTGAATGGTAGGACTCGTTATCAGGAGGGTGGCAGCAAACCAGGGCATCCGGAGTAAACCCACACGCGCGATGGGGCAACACTCTATCCCCGTACAGATGGAAACGGATGGCGATTAGTCAACTTGCTGTATCGCCTTCTCCTGATGAGCCAGGGTACGGCACCTCCTCGACACCCACTGGAAGGGAAGTTCCACAACATGTGCGGTGATCAAACCCTCGCTGTTGCCTCCACAGTTCCTGATTGCATTCGCGTTGTGTCGTGTATCGGTTTTTTTTGTTTTTGCGCCAGTGTTATTTATTGTCCATTTTTATTGTATAAAAAATATTTAACTGCTCGTATTTAAAGTTGTTTTCAGTCGACAATAACACCGGGGTCATGTCCGGGCACGTCACGTAAGGAGAAACCGATACATGATAGTGATTTCTTGTCAACTTAGCATATTTAATTTATATTTCTCCACGACGCTAATGATTGCTTTGTGTAATGTATGATATTATTTTGCCCGTGACATCTGCCCGTTTGCCAGAATTCATTCAAGGCCGACTTGCTGATGAGAAGAGTTGGGGAAAACCGGTCCACAGTTTGGGTTTGCCGAGTCAAAGCTGTTGAAGTTATGCAATCCCAAGAGACCCGTGAAACCTATGGGTTGTGTAAAAACAATAAACCTTAAGATGTGTGTGTTTTTTTATGTGGAGAGACCATTGCATGCCTACCTATTTTGTACAGTTTATGTAAATGGTTTCGCGTGACCCTCTCCAGCCACTAGAGGTCGCGATTCGGGAGACGTGGAGAGTGAAAACGGGGTGAACAATAATCCTCGGGATTGCGATTGTTTTTCTCACGCGTGGCCCTTTGTCAATCCACTGCTGGATTACGGCCTATATAATACAACGGTGGCGTTAACTTTACGTCTGAATGTACTGCGATGATATCTGTAACAGTGATCAGCGTGACTCGATTGGATCAGGGCAACAGCCGGAAGGGATCCTAGAAATGGAATGGATCTGCTTAAGACGTGAAATGGATCGCAATAGCTGGACGTGAAGTGGAATTGCAAAGGCAGGAGTGGATCAGGGTAAACACCTGGATTTGATCACAAGGCCTGGAGTGGGTCACACATAAAGCAGAATTACAAAGGAAATAGTGGATAAGAGTAACAACTGAAATGGATCACAAAGCACAAGGAATGGAGTGTGTCAGAGCAAGAATTGACTGCCTGGAGTGGATCAGTAAGTACTGGAATTAATCACATGGGCAGAAATGGAACGTAGCAACGAATCTCAGTGGAACGTCGCAAGGAATTAGAGCAAGGCCTGGAGTGTATTATGCGGACTGGAATTGCCGGAACTGTACAACTGAGTAATAAGAGCAGGAATGGATCACACTCACTTGGATGGGGGTAGGGCGAGAATTGGAATGGAGCCTCACGTATGGATTATGAGTTTTTAGTTTAATCATGCCCCAGTTATTTCCTTATGTCATAAACTACACCCCGCTGTTCGCGTTGCACTCGTGCGCCGAGGAAAGAGCGAACACATTCAGTGTTCGGTAGATTGGGAAAGCCGGACTGGACTTTCCAACAGAGGCCATGACCCTGGTCGCCACGTGCTGTACGGCCCACGTACAGCCATGTCATTAAGGCGAGAGTCGCAAGAGTCAATGCTGGCGTGGTCGTGCAGGCTGACTTCTTTCGAACGTTAACATTAACCACACTCTTATAATCTTTAACGTCTAAATAATCACCCAGTGAACGCGTTTGCGGAAGTGACGTTGAATGAACGCGACGTGGTCTCATTTTACACAATCTCAAAATACATGAATTTAACATAATTCTTCTAAAAAACACTGCGTCAATGGGGG